AAATACTAACAAGGTCAGATTTGGCTGGCGCGTCTCTGAATTTAACATTATTCCTTGTTCCCGATCAAAGTGAATTACCACGCAGAACGGCAAATTGAAACACTGTTTTTGCTTCCAGTGGTAAGGTCATCTACGCCTAAAAAGAGACTGGTTTTAACCACTGAATTAAATCGTCGGTCAACACTCCACCGCGATAGTACCTACAAGTTACAACGAATTAAGAACGATATTGCAAAAATCAATTGCCGGAAATCATTAGTTTTTAATTGAAAATGATATTGAAGTCTGAATTTGGTGGTCAGACTTATTTGAAAGTTATAGCTAATTGAAATTTTGGGTATTTTCATATATACCCGGCTGCGCTCGCTCAGACAATTATAATCAAAAACATCCATCGACTTGTTATGTAAAACCACCATGGTTGGGTGTCAGAATTATTTTTGCTCCATCATTCTAAAACGTTGATTTAACTAGGTTTCTGAAAATAAAAATTGAAAAATTTGCGTGGGCGCTACACTATATGGATTATAACACATCATTTAAATTTAAAAAAAGGTGGGTAAGTGGATGTCGCTCTGCTGTACTGTAGGTTACAAGTGGGTCACTGTATAATGGATGGTATTAAATTTGAATTCAATGATACAATATCATTGTATAAGAAAAACGATTCTGAGCGAAGACGGTATGTCAGTCTAGGTTTAAGACAAATTATATACATATCTATGGTATTAAAAAAAAAATTGACCTATAATAAATTCCAAATTAATCATATCACATTATCACAATATCCATTAGGTACTTATAACACGTTATACATCAAGATCAATTACAAACCCTGATACTATCATTGATATATAATAGTACACTTTAGAAGTTTCAAGTAGGTACCCACGAATAATATTATATAATCACAACAAAATAACTAGGTTTTTTAATATGTAATTTCGTCCAAATTTGAACATAAAATGACTATAAAAATAAACTGTGATTGTATATTTTTTAGATTTTTCGGTAAGAGAATTAACTACTTACGTAGAATCTTGTTTTAAATTTTCAATCCTTAGCTATAAAAACTGAACATTTTAGAATTTATTAATTACGATGATTAATAATTTTCGAGATTTTGAAAAATTCTGTCAAAATTCGATCTTTAAATGCTTATAAAAAAAACTGTGCCTATGTATTTTTAATATTTTTCAACTGCTATTGTAACAATATATCAGGAGCCTTGTATTAAATTTTTACACTTTTTGGCCCAACAGATAAAACTTTATTGATATTTGTAGAAAAAAAAACTAAAAAAAATTGAAAGCTGTAAATGTCCATAAACAGCTCAAAAAGAGTCAAAATATTTTCAAAATTGTATGGTGTATAGAAAATGCTAATTTAAACATTCAGTGAAATTTTCATGTATCTACAGTTGTTCGTTTTTGAATTGCAACAAAATAAGGAAATCGCTACATGAGAAATCGAGTGAATATCCAATGTTGTAAAAATTTGAATTTCAAACGCTCATAAAAATTTAATTTGACTGTCCGGTAGAGATTTTTTTATTGATAAAGGTAGATAATCTTATAAGGAATCTTGTGTTTCATTTTCAAATCTTAGATTTAAAAAGAAAAATTTTTAGGAATTCTTAACTCAAAATAATTTGCTAATTTTCGTGATTTTTCCATATTTTGTCAATTTTTGAACTTTAAATGCTTATAAAAAAAAATTGTGACTAAGGATTTTTGATATTTTTCATCTGCCTTTGAAACAACATATTAGGAGCCTTCTATTAAATTTTCAAGCTTTCGCAACCAACAAATACAATTTTATTGATATTTTTAGAAAAAAAACTAAAAAAAAATGGAAAATGAAAATGTCCCTAAACAGTTCAAAATAAATCAAAATATTTTGAAAATTTTATCGTGTATAGAAAATGCAAATATAAACAACCAGTGAAAATTTCATGTATCTACGGTCATTTGTTTTAAAGTTACACCAAAAACCAAATTCCATTTTGTCAAAAACTGATTTTGCGTAAAAATTCCCGTTTTTCCTTAATTTTTATGTTGTTTTTCCCGGCGCTTGTGAAAACTATTGGGAATTTTAAATTTTGACCTCCCCAATGCACCAACGATATTCACTTTCCAATCGAACAAGATACTGAAGTTCAAAATCGAAGCATTATTTCGACTACTTATCGTGTACACAGACACAAAAATAAAAAAATAAAAAAATAAAAAAAAAAAAAAACACACATCATTGTAAAATCAATACATTCATCGTTTCACTCAGAATCTAAAATATTTTAGGGTTTTAAGAAATCGTCTTCAAATTATCACTTTTAATTATTTCATACAGTGATATTATTGGTAGGTTAAGTTTCTATTTTATAATAGATCAATAGCCAATAGGTTACCTAAATCACATTTTGTTAAATCCCGGTAGCCGAGTTTTGGACAAGTAGATACATAGGTAACTTATAATAATTTAATTAGATACCAAAAAAATATAACTTCTCAAACACTGTGTCTAGGTTGCACTGGCAGGAGAATGTACTAGAATGTCCATAAACTTGCGGACCTGCAATTTGAGCAGTTAAATTTGGCATGCGTACTATAACAGAAATAGAAAACTAGAATAGGTATGTACATTGCAGATCACAAAGATTTCTGTAAATGAACATAAGATTTATCAATAGACCGTATTATAGGTACTGAGTATAATATATAAGTTCTATGGTATGATACAATTCTACAAAAATAAAGACAGTGTTAAAAGGAATAATAAAATTTGTATTTGTGTATAGTGAAGCATGTAGTATAGGCTTATTGGGCACAAGTTTTATAATTTTAACTTGTACCTTGCTTAAATTAAATAATGATATTTACATTGTGTCATCTAAGCAGGGCTTGTAAGTTCAAGCCCTAAAAATTATTAAATAAGCATGCACTTATGCGCTAAAAATTGGCAAAATAATCCTTTATTAGAAATATGCATTCATATGCACTCCAAATATAAAACTATACATTAAATCCTAACGACAATTCTCATACATTTAATATAGTGAAAAAATATAAATTATTGCATTTTTCATTAAATTTTTATTTTTCCCTATTATTTCAATAGAAAAAAATTTATGTTAATATAATAATTTCAATATAGTAATATTAAAATATTATGAGTAATATGCCCTAAAAAATAGTAAAACCTATGAATACCTATGAATAAACCTATTAAGCTTCACATACTTAACCATCGTACCTTGAAATTAATTTCTATTTCATCTAGCATTAAATACACCTTAGTAAGATTGATATTATACAAAATGCATGAACTTACAAGCCCTGCATATAAGTTATGAATTTTAACCAATATTCTAAACATCAACAAAAATATAGATGCAATAATAATTTATAAGCTATTTACCTATTGTAAGGTAAAGGTATACGCTGGTTAAATCTTGATGCCCAGCATATATTTCAGTATCTACCCCTTTTTATCTCATTAATATAATATATAGTACATATAATTATTATATGACTGTAAATATTTTAATTTTTGTTGTATGTTATTGATAGCCATAAGGTACCCAACAACCCCACCCCTCAAAAAAAAATCCACCATGACGCTTAGGCATCATAAAACCCCATTCACCACGCCACTGTTCTGGTTCAATGACGACTTTTTCGAGTTCTCCTCGTTTTCACTTCCTGTAAAACTAAATAACCTAGACAAAAAAAAAAACAGTGATTAGAAATAATATTTATAAGAATATGTTATTAATTATTATAGAATTACTAAATAATAATTAATATGGTACAAACTTTTTACGAACAGATCTATTTTGTTCACCGTGAGTACTTTCTGCGTTTTTAGTGGGATAATAATTACTATCATGGTTAGTGTAAATAGCTGCTGACGGAGAAATATTGTTTAATGCATTTAAGTCATTAGCCACAATATCATAATTAGTGTCCTCAATTGAACTAAAAAAAAAAAAATATATTTATAGTATTACAAAATATATTATAATTATTATATCTAAATTGTAATTAAAATAATAAATAAAAACAATTGTAAAATATTTATCTAAAATACATACTTTAACAAATATGTAGTGGGACTGACAACAATATTCTTCTGGTTTTCATGATGATTAAAAATTGTAACACTAGTAGCCAGTAGGTGAAAATAGAGGATTGCAATAATTGAGTAGATCCTCAATACTTTCCCTATTTTCAAATACATAATCATCATTAGCACTGTAAAATATACGATTTAATTATTACCAATAGTGTATGTATATTGTATATTGACTTAGGAACTGTTACACATATGGCTTCAATTTTTAAACTGCATAAATGCATAATCCAAACTGGACCAATATTAAGTGCATTATGGCCGACAAAGACTTCACAGAGAAAAATGTTTTTAGAGAACAGTTTCCCCAATCTAAAATATTAATTTGCATATTCCATTGTATGAGATCATTTTCACGGGAAATAACTACAAAATTAATATAACTGCAGGTTTTACTTTAAATATAATGTACAATATAGTATGCATGCATTTTGATTTGGTTTTATTATTTTAGGACAAAGAAACCTTTGCCTACAATTGGCACAAGAAATGGTATATGAAAAAATGAAGACGATTACAGTAGAATTCATGGTCAATTAAAAGACACAAAAATTACAAGTGTTGTAAAGTATTTCGAAAAAAATTGGCATACAATTAAAGAAGAATGGGTTGTATATTTTCAGTCAAAATATATGACATTAGGTATTTAACTCAAGTCAAAAGTGTTTGAATTTTATAATTATGAATTATTTATGATTTATTTACGCATACTTAGGAAACAGAACTAATAATTGTTTAGAAAGTACAAATCAAAAAATTACTCAAGTTGTAACAAAATTTTGTAGACTTGATCAATTATTTGAAGGTAAATTTCATTTAACTAAATATTACTAGTTATACTTACTTAAAATACATTTGCAGGGTTGGAAATGTTAATGGTCACTTTGAGGACAGAGAGAGATCATGCTGCTACAGAATGTTTTTGTAAGACACCAAGTTTCGTTTCAAAGTTGACCTACGAACAGCAACAAATGTTTTGGCATTTGACTCCATTTGCTTTTGACCTAATATTGCCAAAATTTGAATCAATGAACCACGTACAAATAGTGTCTGCCGATAATCTAAATCAAACAGTCAAAATTAAATCGAGAGAAGGAGTAATAGAAGTTTCCGACAACAAAATATGTGTTTGTTCATTTGTAACAAGTTTGTGTTTACCTTGCCATCACATATTCAAAGTTAGGCAAATAAACAATATGCCATTATATTGTCCAGAATTGTGTGCAGAAAGATGGTCGAGGAAAATTATAGTACTGTGTGTAGAGTAATTCCTTCGAGTTTTGAATTAGATGTTGAAAGCTCTGGAAGTAAAGATCCAGTAAATGTTACAACCGTAGAATCTATGAAACCAAAGCGCATTTTAAACCAACATGAATAATATAGGAGAGCACATGTTGAGGCTAAGAGGCTTGCTTCTCTAACGTCAGAAGCAACAGGACAAGAATACCTGCACAGATTAAACATTCTTAAATATATAGCAGAAAAGTGGGAGAATGAAAATACCATTAAACTTGAAGACATAGGAATATTGACTCTAAATCTACTTAATAAGTAGGTCTCTACATATCAAATTTAACAATTAAATAATTATACCTTAGATAACTTACTGAAACAAACAGAAGAAAATTATGAATTTGCCAATGACGATAAAATACAGTTATGTTACATTAAAATTATTCAATACAAAATTAAAAATTAATTATCAAAAAAATAAACTTAAATTAGTTCAAGTTATTTTTTGATTAAAGGGAGGCGAAGAAATACAAAGCCAGACAGAGTACTGTAAAGCAGTGGTATATGAAATTTTATTACCTTGACGTGAGCTGATCTTTTGAAATATAATTAACTAGAACAGTATTGATTGAAATTTGATGTTTAACCTTAAATCAATTTTATAATTTATTTACCGACAATCAAAGCCATAATTCTGTAATACAGACAAATTGTATAATCATCACAAGAAATGGTCCCAATACTTGAAAAAATAAAGATACAATGGGTGGAGATATATCTGCATCCTTCACCCAAGTGAATATATGACAACATTGTACTATATAAGATAATATGATAAAAAAACTGTTTACTTACTTCATAAAATCTGTCGTACATATATTATCAGAATTATTCTGAACACCTTTATTTTGTATAATAACATTTTCATCACATATACCCAGGGACAGAAACCGGTTTAACCGGTTTTCTGAAAAACCGGTTAAAACCGCGGTTTTTGCAATTTTGAACACCGTAACCGAAACCAAGAGCTTTAAAACCTCGGTTAGAAAACCAGAACCGTAACCTAAGAATTTAAAAAACCATTTATAATACGCAGACCGTAACCAAAAAATTTTAAAACCGTTCTTCAAAACCGATTAACATTTAAAACTAATATCGGTTTCTTAGAATTTTCTAAGATTGTTTAAATTTTTATTTTTATTAATTCTAGTTAAAACAAGTATTTTTCTACGAAGAGAATATTATATTTGAATTAATATGTATGAAAAATTCCCGATGCTATTACTGAGTATTACGAAATATTAATAATACGATACTACGAATATTATTCTATTTATACTACCTACCTATATTTTATTACTAGATTTGTTGATTCTAAATTAAAATACAAATATCACAATTGTTATTTTTATCGCCCCTATGCGTGGCTATGCACATCTGTATTGTAAATTGTTATTATTTGAAGAATTCGTCTATATTATTATTTAATTAGAATTGTATTTTCGTATTCGACTGATCCGCGTCCGTCCCGCTGTCCCGCAGACCGCAGTTATCATTAATCGCATGAGACCATTTTAAGGAAGCTATGGTTTAAATTTTAAGTTCCTACCACTATGGAAAGTGCATTAAAACAGTTGTATTTTTTACGTAGCACATATTTTTTTTATAATCCCCCCCTCCCAGACATAAGGCATATTATATAATTTATATTGAAAAGAAAGAAGATATTATGTACTACATAATATAATATAATATCTAATATATAGTGTACATGTATTTAGTATTTCTTACTGAGTGTCTTAACTACTGCAACATACAAAAATATATTGTATTTGTGTGCATGTAATATGTTATTAGGTAGGTACTTATTAATTATTATTTATTTCCTATAGGCAATTGGTGATACAAATTACCAATGTTATTAAAAATATATGTATAATACCATAATATACCTTTATTGAGTATGTATATATAATATTTATATATATATTCCTAACAATCCCTTGATCAGAACCCAATATATCTGTATCCTTAGACAGTGCCACCCCTGAGGCTCAGGCCCTTTCCCCTTAATAGTTAATAGATAATACAAATCAGGTCTATAGATATTACTGGAAGGGGCGAAGTAGTGTGACTTATTGGGAAGAAGTACTGCGACCAACGTCCAACAACCTCTATCGACTCTCGATACCATTGAAAAAAAAAATTATTACTGGAAACTAAAAACCGTAACCGAAAATTTTTGAAAACCGTGGTTTTTGAAACCGATAAATTTAAAAAACCTTTTTTGAAACCGAAACCAAAACCGAAAAATTTAAAAAACCGATCTTTAAACCTAAACCAAAACTAGAAAATTTTATAAACCGTTCTCAAAACCGAAACCGAAACCGTTAAAATTTGTAACGGTTTCTGTCCCTGCATATATACCACTGCTAGAAATCTCGTTCTTTTGCTCTTCATCATGTTGTACCTCAAAAAAACTACAAAAAATAAAATTATATTAATAAAATACTATAATAAGTAAACAATTATAAATATATTATGAAATATAGCTTATGGTACCCACCTTTGCGAACAAGAAAGTGTGTCTGGACGGTATACTAACTTGTGTTTATTTACATGATGCAACCATTGTCTTACTTTAGAGTTTGACTCTATTCAGTCAGGCTGCATGCCATAGGGACGTAATGGCAAAGAAGACGAATTCTTTGGTAAATTACTTGTACTGCTTTTAACAGTACCTAATGTATTATATTTTTTAGATAAATTGATCAACTTCGCTGACTGGTTTCTTCTATGCCAGGCCTCCATAGCAATTAACCAAAACAATAATCCTTGAACAACAATAAAACAAACGACGTAAAATTAAGCAATGATATATTAGATTAATAGACATATGTATCAATATAAAATATAATCATTACATACTTGACTAAGACTGTGGAAGGTGGAAATATTCTTGTAAATATATTTTTAATTACAGACTGTCTAAATAACTGAAGTAATAACCAGTAACCACGCTAGTAACTACTAAGTAATAACCTTAGATCATATACTATGGATGGAGCCACTGCATATTATTTTGAAGCCGATATTAGCGACGAGTCACCGAATTAGGTGATCGATATGCGCATGCGCGAAACAACTCGTCGCATAATTATCCATAGATTACTATCACCACAGATAAATGATAATAATAATAATCATTAATTCATTACCTATCGGGTACGGTAAATTTATTATTTTATATCTTACTTCTTAGTTCGTAGCTAGTATTTTCGCTTAAAAGTTAATACTTATTTTATTTTGTTATTTTACTAATTAGTAATTATTATATTATCATAGTAGGTACCTATTGGCTATTATACCATTTATTTTTTAAAATATATAATTGTTAAAACATGGTAGTCATTGAATTGTTTGTCATAATATTATTTATTTGAATCATTTTACTATTTTCATCATTATTATTATAATAATTAATAACAAATAAAAACAAAATTGTGATTACAATATCAACAATTAGAAAATGTATTGGTTATGGAATAAAATTTGTTTTGTATAGTTATGCCTTATGTTACGACCACTATAATTGCAAAAGTATGTGATTTCGCAAAGTGGTGGAGTCTCAGGGTAATTACATATTAAAACCAAGAATAACGATTTAAGTTTTTTTGTTATAATTTAAAAATACTATTTGTTAGTATGTGAAACTTATAGAGTAAATTGTTATACTTTTATATACATGTAATGACATTTTAAAATGTAATTTTTTTTGGGAAAAATGAATTTAACCAACTATAGTAAACACTAATGCCTAAAACTAAAATTAATTACTTTATTCACAATATAATCCACCTTTTTTTACTAATTTACTTACTTATGTAAAGATAAACCTGGATTCAACTTAATGGACCGTAAGCAAAATATACACGCATTATAATTATTCACTTTCTTACTCATAATTTATTATTGGAATATTGAAATATTTAATTATTTAATAACACTATGATTTCAATATTTCAATATTATAATCACCAGCTGATAAATATGCGAGAGGTTGCGTTGCGCATGCGCATATCGAACACCTAATTCGGTGACTCGTCGCTAATATCGGCTTCAACTTTTTGTATTGCTATAATACGCTGTGGCTCCATCCATACTATATGATCTAAGGTAATAACTAAAGTAATAAGTAGGTAATATCACATTATCACATCAACAAAACATTAAAACAAAAGGTGGGTAAGTGGATGTCGTTCTGCTGTACAGTAGGTTACAAGTGGGTCACTGTATAATGGATGGTATTAAATTTGAATTCAATGATACAATATCATTGTATAAGAAAAACGATTCTGAGCGAAGACGGTATGTCAGTCTAGGTTTAAGACAAATTATATACATATCTATGGTATTAAAAAAAAATTGACCTATAATAAATTCCAAATTAATCATATCACATTATCACAATATCCATTAGGTACTTATAACATTTTATACATCAACATCAATAACAAACCCTGATACTATCATAGATATATAATAGTACACTTTAGAAGTTTCAAGTAGGTACCCCGTACCCATGAATAATATTATATAATCACAACAAAATAACTAGGTTTTTTAATATGAAATTTCGTCCAAATTTGAACATAAAATGACTATAAAAATAAACTGTGATTGTATATTTTTAGATTTTTCGGTAAGAGAATTAACTACTTACGTAGAATCTTGTTTTAAATTTTCAATCCTTAGCTATAAAAACTGAACATTTTATAATTTATTAATTACGATGATTAATAATTTTCGAGATTTTGAAAAATTCTGTCAAAATTCGATGTTAAAACGCTTATAAAAAAAAATTGTGCCTATGTATTTTTAATATTTTTCAACTGATATTGTAACAATATATCAGGAGCCTTGTATTAAATTTTTACACTTTTTGGCCCAACAGATAAAACTTAATTGATATTTATAGAAAAAATAAACTAAAAAAATTGAAAACTGAAAATGTCCGTAAACGGCTCAAAAAGAG